TGCAGAATGGCAGGCTGAGGGCTGACTCGCCACGTAGTGGGGAGCAGCAGGTGACCAGGTTTGCAGGAAAGGGAACAGGAATAGGCTGTATGGCTGCCAGGGACAATGCACCCTCACGTCGCCTCATTGAAGAGAAGTTTACAATCACATGCCGTGCTATCCTTAGCACCCTTAGTAAATGCTGACACCTGCAAAGGCTGCGGGGAAAACTTTGCTAAACACACATTTTGCTGTTTATGACTGAGACTCAGCAAGAGGCAAAACGCCATGACATGTTTTAGGGACGTTAGAAATGGAGCAACCAGCACACTCACCACAGACAGCTGACAGAGGATTGAAGACCTGGTCCAAGCTCACTGTTACAGAAAAATGACCACTACTACTACAGACAGATAACACCAAGAGCAACCCAAACTATACCCGATGCTGCCATGACAGCCATCCCTCCCGTCCCCCTGAAAGAGCCAACGTCAGCTGGCAACACGACCCTCTTATAACTGCTGGACCAGCCCCAATGCCACAACCCCTTAATTTGGGAATGAATGTACAAGCAGGAAAGGTATGTCACTTTATCAGGCATCTTCTTGACTTTTTTGCTTCCATTTTCTTCCTGTGGTGTGACGATGAGTGGCATTTACAGCTTGACTCAGTTGTTTACCTTGGAGACGTGTGCCCTTTTGGGATGCCCTGGTGTGTCCCACCTGGCCTTCAGCTGCTTCACGGTGGCTCTGGAGATCCTGGGGCACATCTGCCTACGCCATGAGGCTATTGCCCCCGTGGACTTCTTATGAGAAGGGGACTGTTTCTAGTGGGGGAACAGGAGCAGGAGCACTTTCCATAGACCTATCTCCTGAATTAATTACTGTTTAAAAAATAACCCCCCCACAATATGAGTTTAACCCCAGGCTTTTCCACAGGCATTGCATGAACTCAGCAAGTCACTGCCTCACACACACTGCGGTGGAAACAAACCCCATTGATAAACCACTGTGATCAAACACTGTAGGCACAAGGACCCCATTGGTATTGGGACATGTCCCCTGTTTGTGCAGTGGGTTCCTGGCTCCAGATTTTGTTCAAGGGAGGAACATACATAACACATCAGAGTTTCCCCTTGTTTCTGGGAATTTCCTGCTCTTCCCCACCTTCCACACTAGGGCCGTCAGTCTGCATCTCTGCAGCTTTTCCAAGGGCACCAACACACATCCCTAATGCCTGCCAGGTCCAGCCCACAGCAAGCATCCTGCCAGCTCAGGTAGGAAAACTTCAGAGTTTTCCTCCCCTGTTGTTTAAGTCAAAGCTCACAAACATTTTGCCATAGCTACAAAACACGATTTTACTGCTTTCCATCCTCAACGCCCACTTCTGTTAGAACAAAGCAGGTGAGTAAGAGCAGTGGAACAAGTTAGTCCACTTGATAAAGTAACTGGAGGATAAGATGCTGAAGGACTTATAACAGTGTAGGGGGAAATAATGAGTACTACCTGATGCATGGTATGAGGAAATATCTCCTCTTGAAATACCTCAGTGGGTTTACTGCTGGGGCATCTCTGGGCAGCCTCACACCCAAAAGCAGAGCACAGGCTCCAGACAAAATTTGTTTTCTGGGCAGTAATAACATGCTCAGCTAATTATACAGGTTCCTGTGTCTTGCCTTCCCTTTAAGAGAGATAAAGCAGCCTGGGCTGTAATAGAAAAGCAGAGGACATTTAAGATGGATCTAATTAGAAGATCTTCTATTTGAACCACCTGAGAAGGTAAAGCATGTTATATCTCTGGGTGTCATTTTTATTTTCTAAAACATATGGAATAGTAACTATCATGCTAGGTGGATTTGCAAGAGAGGGTGTAATTATTTTCCAACATTTACGAAAAAGAGAAACTTACAGAAAAAGTAAAAAGGAGGTCATGTAGATCACCTGTGTCCTGGGTTAAAGTGAGACCTTGTTACTTACCTCTACAAATGTTCTGCACTTTAGAGTTAACTTTAAATGTTTTTCAGCCTGAATGCTGAGGAGAAAATGAGACTTGGTAGCAAGCTTGGGCTTCTTTAGCTCTCTGGGGCTTTGTAAGTCAGATAAGTCTTGCCTCCCAGGAGAGAGCGTGTATGAGAAATGATGAATGCATCCACCGAATAGCTTCGGTTTTACCAACACAAGAAATCGCTTGCTGAAAAATTCTTTTTTCCACAAGATATTAAATGAACAAGGGGAGCAACCACATTACTTGAGAAGGACATTAATATTTTCCCCATTTGCAATTTAATATTTGTTGGTGAGTATTCTGGCTTTCGAGATACTGGTTTGGAATTTTTGGACTTTTGACTAGCTATCAAAGTCTGAGTAGCAGTAGGGTTCTCATTTGCATGAGCTGTCCTCTATATGGTTTCTTACATACACAATTAACAGGGCATTTGGTCTCGGCTACATGGTTGCACAAAGGTTGTATTTGAAAATAGAGGCTGACCCACAACATTTGAATATGAATGCAAGTTTGTGAACAGTGCAAACGATACATGCAAAGCTGTAGCAGATGCTGTTTAACCTCATCATAAACTTTGTTTAATGACCTTTTTCCTTTCTATTATGTTTTACCAACCTGTTACCAATGCAATACAAGTTCTTTGTACAGATTAAGCTGTTGTGCCATATGCTGTGGGCATATGCTGCATATACAAAACTACCAGAAATCTTTGTTTTCTTAGTGTTTTTATTACTAAGTCATTTCATTACCTCAAGGACTTGTGTCACAGCTTATCACTTGGCAATGTTTCCCTCCTGATCGATTTTGGTCCATCTTGGTCTTGGGATCAGCCAGATCCATGGAAGTCTTGAGGTTGTCACAAGTGGATGATGTCTTCAAATTAGCAAAATAGTCTCTTGTAGAATGCTGTGTATACTGCTGGACATGCCCAGGAAACTGCAGAGACACTTCCTTTTCCCTACCTTTTTCTTTTTTTTTTTTTTTAATTCTGACAGCCATTCTTATATGGAATTTAAAAAGCCTGTAACGGTCTTTTTTTTTAACAGATTTTGGGGTGTGGTGGGAAGATATTCTGAATCAGTGAGATGTCTTGCTTTCTGGTTACTCCTATATAGGAGCGTAAGAACAGCCGTACTGGGTCACCTCAAATGTCTGGATAGCACAGGCTTCTGCTTTGGATTTTTTCCCTCTGTTGCTATCCTGGAATATCTTAAAATGAATTTTCCTTTTTTAATTGCTCTTCAGAGTTCAGCTGGCGTTTCCTCAGACACCGTTTCTGAGCGGAAATAGCCAATTCAGAGCCCATCACAGAATACAGAGTGTCAGGATCATTTTTTTCTACCTTACACGTCAGCACTGAATTTCATGATCCAGTCACTCAGTATCCGGAGATCTCCATGCAGATCTTCACAGGCAGACTTTGCTTTTGTTTGTTTGAATCATTTAGAGTTTTCCAGTGTTGTATCACTCACCACTGCCTTTTCCACATCACTTGAGAACAGAGGGTGAGACACAGGCTTACACACACCGTCCTGTGGAGCTCTGGTGATCACATCTCTCTATTAGAAAAGCAAATAATTTCTTCCTACTTTTGTGTCCTCTCTGTTAACCAGGTCAGTATCCAGGTGATGTCTCACTGCAGATGAATCCCTCTAAGAACCCCCTTTGACGAGAACCCCTGACAAATGCCTGCTGGAAACCCACAACAGTGACATCAAGTACATTGCTTGGCTATAAGCTTGTTGCTGTCCTCTACCCATTCACAAGGTGGGACCATAGATCATGTTAGTATGATAATTTTCTGTCATGGGCTCTTTTGAGCAAGAATCACAGAATCACAGAATGGCAGGGGCTGGAAGGGACCTCCAGAGATGATCTAGTCCAACTCCCCTGCTAAAGCAGGCTCACCCAGAGCATGTTACACAGGACTTCATCCAGGCGGGCTTTGAATATCTCCAAAGAAGGAGACTCCACAACCTCCCTGGGCAGCCTGTTCCAGGGCTCGGTCACCCTCAAGGTAAAGAAGTTCTTCCTCATATTCAACTGAAACTTCTTATGTTTCAGTTTGTGCCCATTGCCCCTTGTCCTGGCGCTGGGCACCTCTGAGAAGAGTTTGGAAAGTCACAGTGCAGTGCCCAGTCTGCCTGGGAGCACCAGCTATGATATGCAATCATGGTGGCAATAGGCAGCCATTGCCAACCTTCATTATCATCGCAGGAGGTGCTGGTTTTTCTGCTTTCACCCAGTGATTCACAGCCTTTCAAAGCCTGAGACTCTACGAACAGCCTGTCCAATACAAAAAGATCATAATTTTACAAAAGCTCATTATTTTAATCAGGCTGATGTTAGCCACTCTGGTACTGTTCACTACTATTCGTAAGAGTCTTTTCTCAGCGCTTTCCTTTCTTCAAATGATTTTCACAATCTCCTTGGGTTCTGCCTTTTCCTGTAACTTTCTACCAGCTGTTCATTCTGGAGCTAGGGAAGTATGTTGTTAGGAATAATCAGAAAGTGCATATTCATAACAAAATACATACTTTTACATATTCTTCAGCTCCCTTTCTCTATTCCCTCTGGCCGCATAAACGTGTCAGCACCTGTTATAAGGGTCCATGCATGTTCCACCTCTCCCTTTGTGTTTCATCATCCAATCTACTGCATGAGTAAATTAGCTTAGTTATTAATGAGCTGGAAAAGGTTGTTTTTTCTGGGTTTTGATTTCAGGCACCACGTTGTATTCTGTGTCTGTATTGGGTTCTAGCTTATTGACTTGTTAACTTCAGTGCAATTAATGGAGAGGTACACTAAAAACTCAAAATTACACAGAGTTTTCCAGGAGATACCACTCTTTGTTGTTTCCCTTCTTAGCCAAGGGGTAACAAACATACAGAAATCTCTAGCTGAGCCCGTGATGTTACTGCAGCCCTCTCCAGAGTGGGACACGGCCGGCAGCAGAGCTCTCCCTCAGGCCAAACATTTCTAACTATTCCCTTATGTTCTGGCTGTGCGTTTTCCAGGTACCACTGTGAGGAATATTTGAAGATCCAAAGTAAACTTTGCTCATGGCAGATGAATTACTAGCACCCTCTTTGTCCCTGTTAGGAATCTACTTATGATTCAGCTTCCTCCAAGTGATTTCTTTCCCCCTCCGTTTTGAGTAGGTACAGGCGACGTGAAAAAAAAAAAAAAAAAAAAAAAAAAGAAGAGATATGAGGGAAACAGTCTGGTGGCAGTGGCAGAGGAATAATTACAGACCTTGTTCCGTGCTCTGTCTTGGATGGAGTGAAGAAGCAGAGTGTGCTGAAGAAGTCTGAATGTACTCTTTTTGTAGAGTGTGCTGGTATTTTCTACTGTGCGAGTCAGCTGAAAACTCCCCCCTCCTTTTGCTTCATTTTCCTCTCAGGCTGTACAGCAAGGCCACCGGACAAAATGCCATCCCCGATTACTGCAGGTCTCCACTGCCTATTTCTACTGGTCACAGCATGTTGCCAGACATCACAGGACTCAAACTTCAGTCCGTTCATCCCATATATAGTGAGTATCCTTTCCCAGCCCCATTTGTTTTCATTTGGTCTCTGCTGTATCTCTCCTTTTACATCCACAAAACCTTAGAGGATGTCGGTGTAAGATCAGGTGGGGAAACTGAACCCAGAGTCTCCCCAGTGTGTAAAAGAGATGGACAAATCCAGGAACTGGGCTCTTCTCGCTTCCCAGTCTTAAAGCTTCTCAGAAAGAACTGAGCTAAACTTCTGGTTTCTCACTTGTGTTGGGCTGAAAGGGATTTAAGTTGCTGTCCCTGGAGCTAAGCCTAGGTAATAGTTACATAGATTCACCCATCCTATGAGAGAGAGAAACCAAATAAGTCAACAAAACTAACTCAGGCACGGAGGTGCTTACAGGCAGGTGGCAGGAGACTCATAGAATCACAGAATTGTTTAGGTTGGAAAAGACCTTTAAGATCATCAAGTCCAACCATTAACCTAACCCTGCCATCCCATCACTAAACCCTGTCCCTAAGCACCACATCTATCCTTCTTTTAAATACCTCCAGGGATGGGGATTCCACCACCTCCCCAGGCAGCCCATTCCAGAGCCTGACAACCCTTTCTGTGAAGGAATTTTTCCTAATGTCCAACCTAAACCTGTCCTGGCACAACTTCAAACCATTCCCCCTAGTCCTATCACCCGTTACCAGGGAGAAGAGGCTGACCCCCACCTCACTACAGCCTCCTGTCAGGCAGTTGTAGAGGGCGATCAGGTCTCCCCTCAGCCTCCTCTTCTCCAGACTGTCTTGGCATGAGCACACACGACCAAAATGCCACTCCCGAGTGACTGTGTTTAGGCCTTCCACTTGGACTCAGACTTTACTTCAGTTTCCCACTTTTTCAATAATTCTCACGTACCTCTTTTGCTTCATCAATAGTGCAGATTATGGAAATCCGTTTTGTGCTTCGTCCTGTATATCAGTAACAGTTTCCACACAAATAGTCCCTAACTAGAAACAACAAAAGGGGAACAGAGAAACAAAGGGACTGAACAAATGGAAGTTAATATAGTCTGGTAAAGAAAACTAGTCTATAAGCCTACCAGCTTCTGGTCTATCGTAATTAGACCGGAAAATACTTCTTTTGTCTTCTACATTATGAACCCTATCAAGCCAAAACAGATTCTAACATCTATATTCAGTCCCTAGCACCACAGGGACCTTAGTTCTGACAAGATGTCCAGAACAAAATGTGGCTTTTTGAGCAGGTTGAAAAAAGGCAAAGAGAGGTGAAGAGGAAGGTGGGAACTCCTTAAGCTGTTTCTGCCACCATCCCCTGTCTTGGCAAACCAAGATGTAGCTGGTTCCAGCAGCCCCATCTTCCCTTTGGCAGATGTCTAATAGTGACCAAATACCTTGTTTGCTCTGTTTTTTTCAAACTGTCTCCAGCTTAGCACTTAGGCATCTTCACGAAAAGAGTAACACTTCATTTTTTAGCTTCGTTGATCCATGGTCGATCCTGCAAATGAGTCATCATTTAACGGTGTGAAATATGTGAAATATTTACTAACATAACACTACCCTTTAGTTGTTTGGGAGACTAATTAAAAAAGGAAACCACCGAGACCAAACCCGGGGGAAGAAGTGGGCTTTCTCTAACTTCTGCAGCTAACCCCTAAGGTGAAGGTTAGCACCCCTAGCAGCACAGAAATGCCAATGCACCTTGGGATCTTCACTGTCAGCACAGCTGCGATGTGAAGCCCAGCTCTAATCACACGCCAGATGGTTCCTTTATGTAACGAGATTACTTAAGAGTTGCCAAGCTATTCACCCTTCCAGCGGGACTCAAGAAACTGGCAAAGCTACAAATTTCCTGCCTGTGTCTTTGCTTGTTCTTTAGCCTTTCTTGCCAACTGTGGTGCCAATGTATTTTTAGGGCATGATTAAAAAAATAAGATGGTCTGCATCTCACTTGGCTGCACTCTGCATGAACCCAGTTATACTGCAATGCCACCACTGCCCTGGTCAACTGTGTGCTCCTGATGGCCCACAAAATAGCTGACATGGCACCTGAGCTGGAGCCAAGGCATTTCAATCCCCTTTCTACTCTTGCTCAGGCTGGCTTTGCTGCTGCAGAGCTGGGAGCTCAGACCCAAGAGGAAAGCAAAGGGTAATACGAGTCCACTTTCTGGAATGAAAGGCGGGGTGGACAGGTCTCCCAAGCCGTTTGCAAGGCTGGCCCAGGATGGAGAGCCCTGCAGCTGCCCCATAGCCGGTTCACAGCTCAGACACAGAATTTCTTCTAAGCTGAGACAATCTCCTTGCAGAGATGTGCAAAGAGGCACCTGCAAACTCAGTACATCCCTCAGCTGGGGTTTAGCATTTCCCTGCTTAGAAGGTATAAATATTCTGTTTAAAGAGGAAAAGGGTGGCAGGAAGGGGCAAAGATTGGTGGAGGGAAAAAAATTATCTATGCCAGTATTTTCTTCACTAATTCTTTCATGCCAACAACAGCAGCTAAAGCTTCACTTTGTTTTTTTCACAGATTTTCACTCTTTTTTTCCACAGTTTGACAGTACACTAGGACAGGACATTTTCCAGTCAGCGATGCAGAGGCAGAAGCAAAACCGTACGTACACAAATGGATGGTAACAGAGCAGGTTTCTAGTAAGGCAAGGGAAATCACTGTTGGGGACAGCATCTCTTCAGGTACTGAACTGCGGTCATCAAGGGGGAGTAGTTGGGGTTTAACCCCAGCTGGCAACTAAGCACCACCCAGCCGCTGGCTCACTCTCCCCCGATGGTGAGATGGGAGAGAATCAAAGGGTAAAAGTGAGAAAATTCATGGGTTGAGATAAAGACAATTTAACCTGTAAAGGCAAAGCAAGGAATTCCTTCACCACTTCCCATGGGCAGGCGGGTGCTCAGCCATCTCCAGGAAAGCAGGGCTCCATCGTGTGTAATAGTGACTTGAGAAGACAAACCCCATCATTCCCAACGTCCTTCCCTTCCTTCTTCTTCCCCCAGCTTTATATGCTAAGCATGATGTCATATGGTGTGGGATGTCATGCTCCAGGACATATGGTGTGTGACATCATATTGGTGAGTTGGGGTCAGCTGTATCAGTTCTGTCCCCTTCCAGCTTCTTGTGCCCCCCCAGCCTCCTCGCTGGGAGGACACAGCAGGAAAAAGAGAAAGCCTTGATGCTGTGTAAGCACTGTTCCACAATAACTAAAGTGTTGTGTTATCAACAGTTTTCATTACATATCCAAAACATAGCCCCATACAAGCTAAAGTGAAAAAATTTAACTCTACCCCAGCCCAAACAAGTACGGTAGTAAATGCACAAACAAAAGAAGTTAAAACTTCTGTCTGGTCCATCCAACCAGACCTTGAATGTTTCCAGGGATGGAGCATCTACCACCTCTCTGGGAAACCTGTGCCAGTGTTTCACCACCCTCACTGTAAAAAATTTCTTCCTTGTATCTAGCCTAAGTCTACCCTCTTTTAGTTTAAAACCATTACTCCTTCTCCTATCACCACAGGCCCTGGTAAAAAGTCTGTCCCCATCTTTCTTACAAGCACCCTTTAAGACAGAAAGGCCGCAACCAGGTCTCCCTGGAGCCTTCTCTTCTCCAGGCTGAACAAGCCTAACTCTTTCAGCCTGTCTTCATAGGAGAGGTGCTCCAGCCCTCAGATCATTTTTGTAGCCCTCCTCTAGCCCCGCTGCAACAGTTCCATGTCCTTCTTGTGCTGAGGGCTCCAGAGCTGGACGCAGAGCTGCAGGTGGGGTCTCACCGGAGCAGAGCAGAGGGGCAGAATCACCTCCCTTGACCTTCTGGCCGCACTGCTTTGATGCAGCCCAGGATACAGTTGGCCTTCTGGGCTGCGAGAGCACTTTGTCAGCTCATGTCCAGCTTTTCATCCACCAGCATGCCCAAGTCCTTCTCCATAGCACTGATCTCAGTCCTTTCATCCCCGTTACCTGTGCTGATACTGGAGATTGCCCTGAGCCAGGTGCAGGACCTTGCAATTGGCCTTGTTGAACCTCATGAGATTCACATGGGCCCACTTCTCAAGCTTGTCCAGGTACCTCTGGATGGCATCCATACGATGATGTATACAAGCACAGCTTCTATGCAAGCTGAAATACAAGGTGTAGAAAAAAACCTGAGCCTCTTAGCAGGACAGGGGTCACAAGATAATCCTGTATGGCTTCAGTGTATGGTTGACAACTCATCCACTTGCTGAGTCAAAGGAGAGAAGGGATGAGACAGCTTTTCCCTGTATATATTATGCCCTTTATATAAGCTTCCTACTGCTCTGATACCAAAGAAATCTGGCTTTTGTGAGACAAGCAGCAGATAAAACATGTGCAGAATATTTGCTGAGTAGGAAGCAAGAAGATTTCCTAAGCAGAATGCCATGCTAAGCTACCATTAAATAGCAACAAAGAGCCCAAATGCCAAACTGGAAGCCATCAATTTGTGATTTACCCTCACACACAGCTTTGCAGTCTCATGCTATTTCTCTTTCAGTGCTTAGTTTTGACCTTCCCCCTCTAGAGTACACCATTGACATTGAAGTAAGCCTTATGGATTCATCGTTTCTGGAGCCGATCAGAGAGTATTTCAGAAACCTTAGTCTTCCAGTTTCAACAAACATTTCAGATGTAGAAATTACAAACATCAACATTACAACAGGTAGGTTGGTTCTTTATTTTTATATTCTGGGCGACGTGCTTTTTTTGCCAGTCTTTGATCTCTCCCAGTTTGACTGTCCTTCATGCTTAGAAATCAGCAAAACTGGAATCTCTCTGTGTTGTCTGCTGCAAGACCCAACAAGACCAAAGCTCTAGCGCGCAACAGCAGGTTTTGTTATCTGCACTCCACCACTCCTCTTTATAGAATGTTGGCATTAGGAATAGCCCCGAATGCTTTTCTTTTCCTAAGGAAGGGAAAAAGCCAGAGGAAGCCTGAGCCAAAGGATTTTGCTCCAGTTTGACTAACAAGCAGCCTGAGTTACTTTCAAGTCTCAGGAAGCTGCGACAGCAGTTATCAGACTGTTTACTTCCCTCCACTTGCATTTGGAACGTAAATCGCCGTAAGAGGCTGTGCTCTGACGCTGGCAGAGACAGGCTGCGTGTGATGCCGTCTTTTCCTGATATAACCCACTGAACATATTCTTACAGGGCAAGATAACCAGCCAGGTTTTATTACATGAGTTGTGGTTGTGCAACATCACATCCAAGCAGCTAACCCAGCGGAGGATATACAAACACACCGAGTATTTACAACTGTAGTGGAGGAGATTTGGTACCTTCTTATCGCTGGCCCGTAAAGCAGTGAAAGGAAATGTCCGTCGGTTCTCAAAACAACATGCAAATGGATCTTTTAAAGGCCTTCAGGGTCACATGAAATATGTGAAAATCACTTTGTTAATGCCTTACTTTGCCAAGGGCACATGAAGAGCAGAAAAACTTACAGTAAAGTGTTTGTTGGTTTTGGTTGTTCTTTTTTTTTTATTAGAGGGAATGTTTGTCTTCAAAGCACTTAGTGATAATGTCACCTTCTCCCATGCAGCATATGTCAGGATACAGTCAGGACGACACAGCATCTCACTAGCCACCAGGACTTGGAATGACTATTACATGCTCTTACCATCTTTAAAAGACTACTATAGATTTGCTTTTAGCCCAGGCAATACAGAAATATCCAGTCTGAAAATTATCATAGGACCCTGGCCAATGCGTCAAGTAAATTTTTAGGATCAGGCTTCACATCTCCATTCAATTACTTAAGAGTAACTGATCAGACTTATCCTTCTGCCAGCCTGGTTCCCAATTCTGATTAGTCATTTATAATTACTGTAGTGAGATTTGCAAGGCGTCAGGTCACCGTGTTTGCATCATTCAAGTGACCTTACAAGAAGAGCGACATTTAATTGAGATCGCTGGCATAAAGATACAGCAGGTTAACTATGTATCATGCAATATGTTATGCCCCGTTTACCATTCTTATAGTGTTTCTCTGTCTGTCTGACCCTAGTCTGTCTGTCCAGTGGTGACAACAATAGCTGTTGTTCTTGTGAAAATGGATATGCCTGGCCGAGCGCGGTGTGCAGTGGTTTGGTAGCCTGCCCTTCTGTCAGCCTAGAACCTGCCCTGCCCTGTGGCTACATGAAGGAAATGCCTTTCTACGGGCCTTACTGTGAGCCTCAGACTAAAGGTAAGAGGAAACAGTGCTGAACTTCATCATTGTACAACTCATATACTGGCTAGAAGACGGAATAGTGTTAAAGGAGTGATAAAGCAGCACGTCAAGACTGAGCTGGCTGTCACATTGCCTGTGAATGTGGAAAGTCTGTAGAGATGGTCTAGAGCTTTTCTCTTTGTGGTGGGAGTCTACCTTGGCCCAAGTATTTCCAGATATTTAGTGCCATACTGGAGCCTCAGCTCCTGGAATCACTCACATGCCTCTCTGGGATTTTCAGCATCAGCTAAGCAAAAATTTTCATCTCATCAGATTTTCAAAAGAGGAACTTACAAATGTGACCAAAGTGTGCCATAGTGCTCAAGAGGAGAAGGAACAAAGCCCCCCAGCACGTATCTTCTGTTTGGTTTTATTTCCTGACTCTTGAGACACAGTGCCCATGAGTTTTTAGGAACCTGCCTGATGACTGGACCCTTAGGCTTGGCAGCACTGCGGTGGAGTGTTACCTGTCGTCTCTGCAATCCAAGACAAACCCCCACGAGGCTCTGCTTCTGGTTTGTGATGGAGCAGCACGCAGAGATACCCAGAGGCATCTCTAGAGCTGGAAGCACTCTGGTGCTGCCAGCAAGCCCATTCTAATCAACTCTGCTTAGAGGCAGTGCTTTTATCACAGCGCAGCCCCATATCAATACTGCTATACTATTTCCAGGACTAGAGCTAGCATCTCTTCCATCTGGAAGTCGCACACCCCTTAGAAGTCCAGGGCCTTGGGTACAATGTTCCTCCACTGCAGAGTATGGACATGTCCTTAAATAGACCCGGCTTAGAAAATTCAATTCTCTCTCTAAGCATTTTATGGTTTTTTGTGCCCGTTGATGGGTCTTCACCCAGAATATTACCCTCCCAAAGTCACTGAGGATTTTTCCATTCATTTCAGTGACACATAGGTGGAGATTCATCCTGTGTAACTTTCACTATGAAGAAGTTAAGTATCTGATAAAAGTTATTCATCCAAACTCTCTAGAACTAGAGCAATGTGGCAATTCAACCATTGTAGGAAAGCTGTCTGTCACCTTCTGAATGTATCACCTTTTGGAGGTATCTACAGCTTTGCATCAACTGGAGAGGGAGTCTAGATATCTAGCAGATGCCAGGCATCTAAATTAGATACAGAAAATCAGAATACCAACTTTCATATTACACATACGAATCTTGGCATGTTGTAAGATTTTGATTTAGGATTAGGATGGCTTCACCAAGGCAAATTGTGCCTGACTTATCTAGTGGTCTCATAGGGTGGAAAGACTGCATCAGTGGACGAGGGAAGAGCTACATATGCCATCTACCTAGACTTCTGTAAGGCCTTTGATATGATCCCCCACAACATTTGTGCTGCTAAACTGGAGAGATATGGGTTTGACAGTGTTGTGGTTGAAACCAGGACAGACAGATAGACTGCTAGATGGATAAAGAACCAGTTCGATGGCTACAACTAAAGAGTTATAGTCAATGGCTCAAAATCTGAGTGGCAGCCAGTAACAAGCGATGTCCTCAAGGATCTGTACTATTAACATCTTCATCAATGACATAGACAGTGGGACTGAGTACACCCTCAGCAAGTTTGCAGATGACACCAAGCTGAGTGGTGCACTTGATTCGTTAGAGGGAAGGGATGTCATCCAGAGGGACCTTGACCACTCAAGGAGTGGACCTGTGCAAATGTCATGAAGTTCAACAAGGCCAAGTACAAGGTCCTGCACCTGGCTCAGGTCAATCCCCAGTATCAGTACAGACTGGTGGATGAAGGGATTGAGAGCAGCCCTATGGAGAAGGACTTGGAGACACTGGTGGATGAAAAATGGACATGAGCCAGCAATGTGCACTTGCAGCCTAGGAAGCCAATCATATCCCAGGCTGCCTAACAAGAAGCATGGCTAGGAGGTCAAGGGGGGTCATTCTGCCCATCTATTCCACTGTGGTGAGAGCCCACATGGAGATCTGTGTCCAGCTCTGGTGTCCCCAGCTTGAGTGGGTCCTGAGGAGGCCACAAGAATAGTCAGAGGGATGGAACACCTCTGCTATGAAGAAAGGCTGAGAGAGTTGGGGCTGTTCAGCCTGGAGAAGAGATGGTTCTGGGGACACCTTTCTGCAGCCTTTCAGTACTTAAAGGGGCTTATTAGAAAGATGGAAAAGAGGACTTTTTACCAGATCCTGTAGTAACAGGCCACAGGGCAACAGTTTTAAACTGAAAGAGGGTAGCTCTAGATTGGACATAGGGAAGAAATTCTTTACAGTGAGGGTGGTGAGGCACTGGAACAGGTTGCCCAGAGAAGGTGTGGAAGCCCCATCGCTGGAAGTGTTCAAGGTCAGGTTGGAAGTCCCTGCTCATTGCGGGGGGGTTAGACTGGATGATCTCTAAAGGTCCCTTCCAACCCAAACCATTATATGATTCTAAGAATCTATGATCAAGTTAGAAGAAAAAGCTAAGAAATCACTTTGTAAGCATTGCTTTTGATTATTTTTACATTTCTTTTTATGTTTTTTGTTACAGACTCATGTGGCATGGGAGAGCCCATTGTAATGATTATGTCAGTCAGACTCAACATAAGCTTTCAGGATGATCTCGGGGATCCTTCTTCTGTATTATACAACAAATACAAAGCTGACCTTGAAAAAGCGGTAATAATTTCAGTTATCCATCTCTGAAGGTAGAAAGCCCTCTAAGCAATGTGGTATTTACTCTAAGTGTCTGGGAAATAGGGTGCACTGTCACTGTCTCTGTGGGGAGCTGTGGAGTACGCAGCAGTGGTAGCTACAAAGCGGGCCAAAGCTGGCCTCCATCAAAAGGCAGTAAGATTTGCATTCATTTTAATACACTGGCCAACAGGGAAGTATTTAGGAAACTTTTGCATCAAAAGCAGGGAAAAAAAATCACATTATTTGTCCCAGCTTAAATCCAGATGAGCACACACAGAATGAAGCCATCAACAGAAATTTGTCCCATGACAGCGGGAGAGCACCAGGCTTATTTTATCAGATATGCTACGTGCCCCCACTGACATCAATGCTGCAGGGAGAGTTGCCTACTTTAGGCACGCTAGAGTAATATACAGAGGACTTATGCCATGTACTATCTCTTCGTTTACAGTTCAATGCTAGCTACAGATGTTTACCAGGCTTTGTATCAGCAACAGTAACTGGTTTCAGGTAAGTAAACGATTTCATTTTTTCCTGGAAGACACAAATCTTTCTGTCCAGACTCAAGGACACACTGGCCAGCAAAGAGTGCATTCCCTCTGGCTAGAACCCACGCCCAGTATACAGATACTGAATAACACCACGATAGCTGCAAAGGAAAGCCCAAATATTAACTTGGAAATAGGGCTGCAGGTAAAAATCACTACTGTGCGAAAGTCCAAGAAACATAATCATTCTTCATCTGGATCAAAGCCTTTTGTGGGAAAGACTGAATTCCACCCAAAGGGGAAAGAAATGCGAGTAAACCTACCGTCATTTCCTAGGTTATCAGGAAGGTGATACACTGACTCTGGATGTAACATTGGATCTGGATAAAAGAGCCATTACTTAAGTCCATACATATTTAAATGCAGCTGTATTTTAGGTTTTCTAAGGGAAGTTTACTAGAAATACCAGATGAAGGAAATTTCACATAAAGGTGTTCTTCTTTTAGGAAGAGCTGTAGCACAACCTTCTTGTATACCAGAGCAAGTCTTGAGTCACAACAGGAGCCTTCGCAGGTGAGCCCTGTGAAGCCTTCCTAGCTGTGCAAGATGGGCCACCACAACAGAGAAAACCACTAATATGCAAGGAGATTTAATTCTGGTGCTTCTCTCATTCTTGTGTCTGTTTAGGCCTGGAAGTGTTATTGTGAACTATGAAGTAAAAGCAGGAGCAGCAAGCTTCAGTCAGATAGCAAATTCCAACAGAATTGTACCACAGTTTCTCGATGCATACTACCAGCTGGACCAAGCTACCTTCACAATAGAAATGACTAGTAAGTTTAAAGCACTCTCAGTATTTTCCTTCCAACCTCTACTTTAGTATTTCTATCCTGAACGACGTATCTCTCTTTTACTGCTGATTATTTGGTAATGGACCTACAAAAAATATTTATTTCTCTTCTGTTTCATTTCCTGCTGTGCTACCAAAGCTTAGTACTTTCATGAGATGACCATGCACGCAGTACCTCCCACAGAAAACCAAATCCTTCCAGCTACTCCACTGAACCCTGCAGCAGTCTCTCCATGGGAGAAAGACTGAATACCCTTAAGTTCACCTCCAGAACTGAGACAGCATGTCAGGCTGCCAGTGCTTCCCACTTCTTCAAACAGAACCTCTTGCAGTTCACATGAGAAGAGGTTCCCCCTGGCTTCCTTGGCACATTTTCCACACTGCTGCTGGACAGTGTGTTACAATTCCATTGCCTGATCAAGTGTCCCAGAGGGGCTGCACCCTTGGTGCTCTCAGCACTGGTCTGTCTCAGAGGATTACTTCAACCTGGTGGTTTCTCCTCCAAGTTTATCTACTTAGAAAGTAGTAGTGGTGATAACATTTCTGGCTCTCTGCATAAAACCTTCTGGGATCTTTGGCTGACAAAGATAGTGGAAGAATACATTGCAGGAAAATTGCACAGCTTGTATCAAAGCTGCAACTGATCCTGAGTGTGTGTTAGCTGTGAAGCGCCTAGGCTTCCCACGAGATGAAAGACATCGTATAGACGTGAGGTGAAATGACAATAATGCAGAACGTTGCTCTTTGTCTTCCCAGATCACACAAACTTCACTGTGATTCCTGTAGACATTTTTCAAGGGGATACAGTAAAACTGATCTGTGAGATAAATTCGACATCTGAGAATGTGACCTGGTATTTCTCCAATCAGACCATCACAACCAACTCCCGGTATTTGATAGAGGCAAAAGCTTCGAGGTCAATTCTTACAATTAAAAACACTACGATACATGATTCTGGTATGATTTTCTATCATTAAAACAGCAGATGTAAATCTCGAGTGTGGCTAGTTCTATAAGAAGCAAAGAGGAATGCAGTAACTGCATTTTCCTAGAGTAACTGGGAAAATACACTGTCCCTTATAAATTTCTGATGTTTTTTTTTTTTTACTTTAATAAACTACATGCTGACTGGCATTGCAAGTAAGATGCAAACTGAACTGACTGTATAGGCCTGGGTATTCTCATTGCCAGGCTTCACTGCCATATCCCAGGAGACAGCAGTGACTACATGGCTGTGGGGCCTTCCCACACTTCTGCTGTGGTAATTTGAGGCTGTGGTTGAATTTGTCCTTGATGGCCCTTGCCCCCTTTGCAAACATAACCTAACTAACCAGAGCTTGGAGTTACAGGTTTTCATGTGTTCATGTTTAGGGCTTTTCGAAAATCAGAAACAGGTAAATTGGTGGCATTTTGCTGGGAGAAGTTATCAGGGGAATTGTCATGTATTATTGGAGCTTCAGCTCAAGCTCCTACTCAGTTCTTCTCTTTGGGCCTTGAATTTTACGTTCAACTTCAAAAAGAGTATCCTGTGACCAGGTATTTGGGCACACAAATATGAGAGGTAGGAGTTGTGGGTCCAAAATTCTCTGGGCTAAGGATGCCCTGAACCTTAGTCTCTCCACTCCTATGCAAGTGGTCTGCTCACTTGGCTATCCCAATAGGGAAGGGGAACCCACATACCTAAAGTATGAAGGAATTTTGGAGCTCTGATTGCCAATTTCAAAAGGAAGCCTGGCTGCATCCAGGGGACAAGTGCCTGAGAAAGGGGCTGATAAACATTCTGCTCTCTTTGGCAATACCTTCAGAGCAGCGTATGTGCCTACGAGTGCCAGCTCTTGTGGAGTCCACCCTGGGCACCTCCCTCCCACCCATTCTATGTAGGACCCTTGTGCACAGTCAGTCTACATTCTTACTGTGAGGTATTGCTGCCACGTGGGCTATGGGCAATATACAGATCCCAAAACCACCGACTCAGCCAGATTTTAACTATTTCAGTCCCAGAGTGCTGGTCTCCTCTCAAGTACCCATCAACACTGAAGCTGCCTAATCTGGATACATGTGGTACCAGGAGTCTGCAGAAAGCATGCCGCAAGTGACCTGAGGGTACATTTTGATTAGCAAGTAGCAGAGCCACTGCAGAGCAGGGAGATGTGAAAACTAGGTGTGGAAGTAGCTCCCAGTTCCTAACTCCAAATGTAGAGGAAAACCAGCAAAAGGTGTTCTCAATGCTAAGATATTGCCTGTGCTTTACAGGTTCCTATAAATGTGTTTTCACAAAGAGAAAGAGCCTTCACACACTGGTATTCAAGGACACAAAACCAATAGAAGTCTCTCTGCTGAACATCAGTTCAAACTTTAACAACATTGATGTTACATGCAACAACCCTGAAATGCAGACAAACAGTCCTGTGCTGTCCTGTTGTATTGACAGACACTTACCATCGCTTACTGGTGACTGGAAAGTAAATGGAACAATCAATATTTCAGGTAAGATTAAAAAAAGAAAAAAGATTGTCTTTCACCTGCTAGGTTTGCTCATTCTTCAAAGATGTCCTCCTAACTGTCTACCCCAAAGGCCAAGTCCTAGGATGAATACAGGGTGTGCTCCAAAGGTGTTTGTGGGGGGGAAGGACAATGGGTGGACAGCATGGTACAGACCCCATAGGCATTGTGCAGGTGCCTGTGGGATTCTGGGCATCTCCATGCACTGCGCAGACATTGGTGCTTAAAACAGTGCCATTCTGGATGGAAGCAGCTGTCTGGACCAGCATCATACTGACTTTTTCCAAAAAACTTATTTCTGCATTCTCTAGTTTTGAGAGCAAGGATGAGTGCATCAGGCTCTACTGCTATGTCCAGAATTGCCCTTGGGGTATGAAAAGCTTCTGTGTACCACAGACTGAGATTTGGCAACCGAGAGGCAGGTGCTACACTTTGAAACAGCTGCAGCACAGCTAAATACTCAGTGTACAGTTTCTCTGTCTGCCTGTAGTTGTGATACACCACATGCCAGCTGAGTCAGTAGCATCCCACAAGATTTATTTATAATGTGGATATAAAGAGTTAATAAAATGCCAAGTAAATGTGTTACAAAGAATCATAGGATCATAGAATAGAATCATAGAATTGTTTAGGTTGGAAAAGGCCTTTAAGATCATCAGGTCCAACCGGTAACCTAACACTGTCGAGTCCACCACTAAAGCATGCCCTTAAGCACCTCATCTACCTGTCTTTTAAATATCTCCAGGGATGGGGACTCAACAACTTCCCAGGGCAGCCCATTCCAATGCTTGACAACCCTTTCAGTGAAGAAACTTCCTGATGTCCAACCTAAACCTACCCTGGCGCAACTTGAGGCCATTTCCCCTCATCCTATCGCCCATTACCAGGGAGAAGAGACCGACCCCCACCTCACTCTCAAGGTGCAGCCTCACCAGTTCCAAATACAGGGGCAAGCATTACAAAATAACATCAATAGAAATTCTCATAAATGCCTATGAACCATAGTCATAAACAGCCTATTGCCCTCTTAATATTTTATGGGTATGGATTAACTGTTTATTGTTAACCATTAAATAAAATAAATTAAGTTTTGCAGAAAGCAGGGCAGCAAAATGAGAGAAAACCTTCACAGCTCATGTGCACAGTCATTTCCACAGAGGACGGGCACTGGTGCGCAGCAGCGCTTGCAGAGAGAGGGGTGATGATCCCAGCCTACTGTAATGAGCTGTTTTGCCCTTGATTTCCTGTGGCCAGGCTCTCCCCCAGGAAAGTGGGGGGCTCTCATGCCAGATGCACTTTCAGCTGCAGCATGGGACAGCTTTAGTAGGGTTTTCCCCTTGTGGCTAAATCAGCACTCTTCAGATTTAAAGTTGAATGACTGTCAAGTACCCCCAAATGTTTATTTCAAACTAAGATGGCATTAAAATCTGCAGTATTTCCTCCTGTTTTACTTATGCATGCTAAATATCCCTTATAATGAAGTTAGGCTGAACCAAGAACACTCTTCATTTTGGCTTATCCTGAGGTATCCAAGCAATGGTGTTGCTCTCAGAGTGGTTTTGGCGGTAGGTGCCCAGCACTGTGCCAAGAGCCATCTTCAGGGCTTTGGAAGACCACTGTGAGTGCTGCCAGAGTAAAAGATACAAACAAACTTCAGCAATGATGAGTTAAAAGTGCTGTGCTGTCGATGGTTACATACAAACCCACAAGCACTTCCTTCGCTAGAGCGATTGCTTGTGATTTCCAGAGTCCAGGTATTTTTGGACATCCATAGCCCTTCGAGGAATGTTTATTTCTCCTTAGGAGTCTCCAGTTTCAGTGAAAACTGCACCGAATACAAGCTCAACATCAATGAATCACTGTGCCCACCGAAGGACTCAGGGGCAGTGACGACGTACACATGTGAGCTGCGGACCGGACACGGTGCCAGGGGCAGTCGGGATATCAGGGTGACGTACCTCAGGAGAGGTAAGAGTCAGGCCATCAGCTCTTTAATGCGTTGGTGGCCTTTGTGGCACATGTAATTTTGCAAGCAAACGGTTATAACAAGTGACTCTCAGTAATACAACATTTATCTTGTGTTGTCTCAGCCAATGTAAAAATATCTTCAGCTGTAAACTCAGTTTCCGAGGGACATGGATTCAATCTGACGTGTGAAAGTGATATCAGCAATTATGACAGCATCAGTTGGAAAATCCAGTCTGGAAACAACACAAAAACAGTAGATTGTGATACGTGCATCAATAGCAGCTTTTCAGCCATGTCGGTGCTCACAGTGAAGGCTGCCACACTGGCCTGGAACGGTGAGTGAACCTGGTTTGTATTGGCTACAAAGGCAATGAAATCTTCATATCAGACCATTTACAGCATCCCTAGCCCTGCCACAGTAAATAAATAATTAAAAAAAAAAAGAGTTAAAATCATAACAGCTGGAGGACAGGAAGACATGATGTTGCCAACAACCCTGTACTTGTTCAGTACTAGGCCTCATGACCATGCAAAAGCTGAGGAGCATTTCTGTGACTGAGACACGGATTTTGTGTCACTCCTTTCAGGCACCTTCATCTGCACATTCTCCCAGAAGAACCTAGAGAGTTCTGCCAATAAGACAATCCAGGTTTTTTCCTTGCCTCTGAAGCAGAACATCATGATAAACCCCATTGAAGCACCTATACAGTGCAACAAGCCAGAAGCCCTTCAGTGCTGCATACGTGCTCACTCCATGGAAGACTACAACGTTACATTCATGGTCGAACATAAGGAAGTTCCATTTGGTAAGAAACAAAAAACTTGCAGAATGACTAGTTGCACTATGTATCACAACCCAGTCCCTGGGGTTTTTTTGTTTTGTTTTCACTTAGTTACTGCTATTATCACACCCCACAAGTACTCTTGAGGGTGTAAAAAAAGGATAATGGACTTTTTTTAGGATGGTTGCTATGCCTGGGAATCATGGCCGAGATTAATAGAAGAGCAGCTGAAGCAATAAATGTAGCAATAAATACATGCTAGGTAAATTCAATGCTCGGTTTGTCTTGCCAGGCAGTGAGAAGTGAGCATCCTCATCATTGTTCAGATTAGAAATTGCTGAGCTTCATTTATTTGATTTTATTATCTTCCACTCTGCCACATTTGAGTATGATTACTTAAGAAGATGATCAACTAATTCATGAAAAAGGTATAATAACACATTAAGGGTACAATTCAGAGGACTATTCTGTTTTCTTCAAGGGTACAGGTAACATATCTTTAACAGCACAAAAGTCGAAGCTTCTCTGTTTTCAAATTTAGGGCAGTTTTGCAGCTTTCCTAGCATGTTTTATACACTGGAAGTTTTCAAGTGGGTTACAAAGCAGTTAATTTGAAAAAAGCAAAGAAGAGCCACTTAAACTAACTCAGAAAACATGCAGGAGTGCAAAACCAACAGGCTGAAGTGTAAAGCAGGTGGAGATTTGGGGGGGGGGGGGGGGTGGGGGTCCATAG